AAAAAAAAAAAAAAAAAAAAATCCCCAGCCCTTCTATTTATTTACTTTTGAGGCAGAGTCTCTCCCTAAACTGCCCAGGCACGACTCGAATTTGCGATCCTCCTGCCTCAGCCTCCCTAAGTACTGGGATTACAGCCGAGCACCACCACGGTGACTCAAAAATCAACATTTATGACGAATCAATCTTGAATTGATGCCTGAAATGTAGATACTAAAGCATTCCACTGTTCACTTAAACTTCAAGCCGTCGGGAGTCTCGGATACTTAATTTTGCCAAGTCTGACGACTCTATCAAGAGACACCGACCCGACAGCCCAGCTCAACCCCGGCTTCCAGCGTGGTGACCAGGACAGCCGCCCCCAGCCTCCCGGAAGTCCCGCCCACACGTACCCGGTCGTGCGCTCCTGGAGCCGCACGTCCTCCAGGAACTGATCAACCTCCAGCCCCAGCGGCTCCTCAGCGAGCCGCCGCCAGCCCCGTTTCTTATTTCTAGGGCCGCGCCGCCGCCGCCTCAGCGCCGGATCCACCGAAGTGGGCCTCAGCCCCAGGAAGCCAGTATTGGCATCCTTTTTCGAGCCCTGCCTGGCACCACCACCATTGCTTCCCGGAGCCATCTTCTTAAAGGAAGAACTTCGGTTGCTGGCCCTCCAAAATCCGGTTTGGAGCATGCGCGCGCCGCTCTCCCAGCCTCTCTCATGATGTACTTCCTGTGCAGCCATCTTGGTAAAGTAGTAAGCGCTTCGAAAGGAGGCGGGTGCCATCTTGGTGAAGGGCAAAAGACTCCTCCCTCTTCCGCCTTGTACAAAGTGTACAAAGGGGATCTGCCGATTCTCAGCGACTGGGAGATTATAGGTTCTTGGGGCTCACCCTGAGAAAAAAACACTTGTCCCAGCCACCAGGCGTCTTTGGTTCAAATCTTTTTATGTGTGGTGCTAGGGATGAAACCCAGGGCCTCACACATGCTAGGCAAGTGTTCTACCACTGGGCAACATCCCAAACTCGTGATTATTTCTTTTTTTTTTTTTTGGTACTGGGGATCAAACTCGGGTCCTTGCACTTGCGCAGCAGGCGGCGAAACCACTGAGCTAAATCCCCGGCCCTCATGATTATTTTTTAATAACGTTTTCTTAAAAAATAAAAAAAAAATCAGAACTTTCTATCAGTATCAAATCCATCGGAAGACACATTCCAATCTCAGAATGTTTGGCCTCTCAGTGTTCCGATGCTAGACTTCAAATCAACGTTAGAAATGTTGAGGCTGCGGGTTGGGGATTTAGCTCAGTGGTGCTGACGCCTGCTGCGCAAGTGCAAGGTCCCGAGTTTGATCCCCGGTACCAAAAAAATGTTGAGGTTGGAAAAATACAACATTAAAAGAATGTTAGAAACATGCACTATTAAAATCCCTAGAAGACACAGAATCATTCATCTTAGGTAAGCTACTTTGCTGTGCCACAGTTTCCTCATCTGTAAAATGGGGAAGATAATGTCAGGGTTTGTTTTTTTTAATCTTCTTTATGGTACTGGAGATTGAATCCAGGGCTTTCATACTGAGCTGCCTACATCCCCGGCCCTTTTTTTATTTAATATTGAGATACGGTCTGGCAAAATCACTAAGTTTTGCAAACTAGGCTCAAACTTGCCGTCCTCATACCTCAGCCTCGAAGGGTCCTGGGGTCACAGGCATGCACCACCACAGCCGGCTAATGGCAGATGATTCTGAAGATTAAACGAGGTAACATATGTGAAGCGCTGAAGACAGCTGAGCGAATAGCTATTGTTAGAGACTCGCCCGAGACGAGACTTCATCTCAGAATCAACTCATCTCCGCTATTTACAAATAAGGAAGGAAGCTCAGAGGCCCTCGGGGTCTGGCTCTCTTCCAAAGGGATGCACCGTCCCCTAAAGGCCACTCTTAATTCTAAGGGAAAAGGCACAGGGAGGGCAGGCGCCACGTCGGGGGACTCACCACGGAACCCTGCCAGATCCCCGCGCACAGGGCTTTCAGTGACCCCTGCCTGGCTCCAGAGAATCCGCCAGGGGGCGCTCGAGGCCGCGGTAGCCGGCACGCGTGGGTGGGGGTCGCAGGGCCAACGTGGCAGGGGCGGGCGCGGCCTCGGGGCGAGCCCTCGGGCGCTCGAGGTCCGCAGCGCCAGCTGCTCACCCCGGGAACCCCCATCCCCCCGGGTGGCTCGTCAGGGCTGTGCGCTTGGGTCACAGGAGTGCACGTGGGCAGAGGGCGTGTGCCCAGCTCGCGTTGCCCCAGCCACGCCCCACGGCTCGGTTCCCAGGCCCCGTGGAGGGAGGGGAAGGGAGGGCGGGTGTCCCGGGCGGCTGGACCCCACAGTCACTTTGCTTTGGAAAATATGCAGGCTTGGCCCCCAGCCCAGGCCTGAGTCACCAGGCTCCACTGCCTTGAGTCTCGGACTCCACCCGCCCCTGGGAGCCAGTCGGGGGCTGTCCCCACCCCAATCCCCCTTCTCCCGCCTGAAGACAACCTGACTGCGACCTGGAGGGAAGCCTGGGCTTTCTTTATTCGCTCTGTGGGGACACGATTCAGCTCGCGGGCCCCTCCTGGGCAGGACAGGGTCGCCGGTGGGCGGGGATCCCAGCCAGCAGTTGGACGGGGCGTGGCCCTCAGCGGTTTGCTGCTGGCCAGCTTTTGCATGGGGTCCCCGCACCATGAGGCACTAATGTGAGGACAGAAAGGCACGGGAGGGGGGGGGTTCCTTGCAGCAGGGAGGGCAGTAGCACCAAGAACCCTGCCCAGGACACCAGGACACCCCTGAAATCGGACGAAAGCACAGCCCGGAGCCGCTGTGTCCAGGAGGGCGCCTCTTAAGTGCGGGCAGAGGGGCCGGGCCACAGCAGTGCTAGAACTGGGCCCTCTGCGGGGGACCCGCGGCAGGCTGGGCACTCAGGCCTGGGCAGGTAGTGGGACAGAGGGAAGAAGTCTCTCTGAGGGGGCGGGGTCCAGAAGGGGCCAGGGTGGAAGGGGTTTTCCTACCTGTTACACGATCTTTATTAAAGAAACGGTGTGATCAGAATTTGGGGGCTTTCCCCAAAAAGGAGGGGAGGGGCTAAAGAGGGGTCCCTCTGAGGAAGCAGGTCATGCCCCCCCCCCGTGGGCCCCCAGTGGTCCCAAGACCAGAGGACAGGAGGTGGGGGGTCTTTGCCTGGCTGGCAGGAGAAAAGGGGGGTCTGTGGCTTCAGCATGCATTGGTGTGATTGGTGGGTGCCCTCTCCTGAGAATGGCAGCTCCATGAGGGCCAGACATGTAGTAGGTGCTCAATAAATATCCAAACGAATGATGGGCGTGCCAGTGCCGAGTGTGTTAGTGTCAGTGTGATGTGGCCAAATGTATGTAGGTGGGTGCAGTGCAGCCATTATGTGCCATGAGGTGTGAAGGGTGGCAGTGAGAAGCCTTGCCCTCCGTCCCCACTAAATGCTTGGGCCTGGGTGTCTGGCTGTGGGGAGAGGAAGACCCCACAGCTGGGCAGGGCAGCTCGGTGGGTCAGGGCAGGGGTGCGTGTGCAGCCAACAGGAGCAGGGAGCCACAGCAGGGCGAGGGAGCAGGGCCGGCGAGCCGCAGCGGCTCACTCGGCAGAGCCTTTCTGGCGCCGCTTGGAGGGTGGCACGAGGCGGCGGGGCAGGTTGGCGGGCAGCCCGTGGCCCTCAAGCTTGGCCTCGATGAGGTGGCTGGCCAGGGCGAACTCCTCGTCGTCCAGCATGCCGTCCCGGTCCACGTCGCTCAGCTTCCAGATGCGCCCCAGCACAGAGTTGGGGAGCTTGGTGCCCACCATCCAGCTCTTGGCCTTGGAGCCGCTCAGCTTGCCCTCGGCCGGCACCAGGTTGTAGAAGATCTCATCGTACTTGGACTTGTCCTTGGTCACCACCCACTCGGCCTCGTCGTCGGAGCCCTCCTCACCATCCTCCAGCGCCTCATCGGGGCCCCGCTCCACAAAGGGCCCCATGTGGGTGCCCTCGAAGGCGCCGCCCTGCACCCCCACCTCCGTGCTCTCCAGCTCCTCCTGCCGAAGAAGGGGCATGAGCTTGGCAATGTCCTGAGTCAGCATCTCATCCAGCGCCTCCAGCAGCTTCGGCTTCAGCGAGTGGAACTTGGTGAAGTCATGGGCCATCAGCATCTCCTGTGGAGGAGGACAGGGACAAGAGATGTCAGAGCAGCCCTGGCCACACCCCATCCACCGCTTTCCCCAGCACTATATCCTGGGTCTGACCATGCAAGGAGCTTCCCCTGTCTCCCAGTGTCAATTTGTTCTTTCATCCTCAATGTGGAATTTCTGAAAGTTACCTTGCCACATGGCTGCCCATGGGAACGACTACACTTCCCAGTATCCCTTGCAGCCAGTTGGCCAGGTGACTAGGTTCCCTCCAATTGGGTATAAGCACAAGTTGCCCAGTGCAACTTTGAAGATTACTCTGTTCAGTATGGTAACCACTGGCCACATTTGGTTATTTCAATTAAAGAAAAATCTGTAACTCAGAGGTTTTTTGTGTTCTCTCCCTCTCTCTTTTCACTGCAAATCAACCCAGGGGCGCTCTATGAGAGCTGTATCCCAGCCCTTTTAAAAATTTATTTTCAGTTTGGTCTTTTTTGTTGTTTTGGGTTTTTTGGGTTTTTTTTCCTAGTACCATGGATGAAACTCAGGACCTTACGCTTGCCAGGCAGGCGTGGTGCCGCTGAGCCACACCCCCAGCCCCTTCAGTTTTGTTTTTTGTTTGTTTGTTTGTTTGTTTGGGGGGTTTTTTTGAGACAATATCTCACTATGCAGTCCAGCTAGCCTCAAACTTGTGATCTTCCTGTCTCAGCCTCCCAAGTAACTGGGATTACAGGCATGTACTACCATTCCTGGCTCTATAATTCAGTTTTACTTACTTATTTTCTTATTTTTGGTACCGGGGATCAAACTTGGGACCTTGCGCTTACAAGGCAGGCGGCGGCCCCACTGAACTGAATCCCCGGCTATAATTCAGTTTTGTTTTCTTTGTTTTTTTTGTTTTTTTTGGTACCAGGGATCGAACTCGGGTCCTTGCACTTGTGCAGCAGGCAGCGAAACCACTGAGCTAAATCCCTGGGCCTATAATTCAGTTTTAATGTGGCCAGTCGCTATCACATTGAACAGTGCACCCTAGAACATTTCCATCACTGTAGAAAGTGCTGTTGACTAGGACTATTCTAGAAAGGGTCCTTAAAGAAACTGTTCTTTCCTCTTGCTGGCTGGAATCCGGACACAATGGCTAAAGTTTCTGCAGCCATTTTGTACCATGAGGTTTCTTGGGACTGGAGGCCAGATATGGATGAGAAATAAGAAAGACTAGTTCTTTGGGTCCATAAAGCACCAAATCAGCCCCAGATCATGTTCTGGCCTTTTTGTGAATGAAAAAAAAAAAATTAAGCCACTGTTATTGTGGGTCTTGTCTTCACTCTATAATCCTACCTCATAAAACCAGACCACAGACCTGAATTTGGAAGACACTTTCCAGAACCTGCCTCCCTCTCCCCAGCTTTCCTCCCAGACTCCAAAGATGACCTCCCCGCCACCCCTTCAGCTCCAACCTGCATCTTCTGGCAGTCAGGAAAGTCGCCTGGAGAGATGTGGTGCTCCAGCTGGATCTTGGCGAAGATGACGGGCAGCTTGAGGATCAGCTGCTTCTTCTTGTTCTCCTTCCCGAACACGGAGGGCATCTCCTTCTTCAGGTAGCTGATGATATAGGCGTGCACCTGCCAGGGAGCATTCCCACCTGAGCCCACGAGGCCACCAGGGTTGGCCCAGGCCCGGGGGTCTGCATTTCCTTCTTTTCTTTTCTTTCAGTACTGGGGATTGAACCCAGGGCTTGAAACTTGAGCTCCATTCTCTCCAGCCCTTTATTTTTTATTTTGAGACAGGGTCTTGCTAACTCACTGAGCGAGGCTGGGCTCAAACTTGCCATCCTCCTGCCTCAGCCTCCCCAGTGCTGGGGTTACAGGCGTGCACCGCTGCGCCCGATTTGGGATCTGCATTTCCAGCGAAGCTGCTGGAAGTGGCACAGCCTTATGGCCGGGCTCCCCCACTCTCTCTTCTAAGCCATCAGAGCCCCTCTGCACAGCCCACTCCCCGAGCCAGGCTGAGCCTCTGCCAAGTGCCTGGCTCACATTCCTGGGTGACCTCTCCTGAAGCCAGGACTCATGCCTAGCCCTAGTGCTGTGTCTCACTCAGCCCTGCCGGTCCTGGGGAAGTGGCACCCAGCCCTGCTTGCCCCAGAAATCAAGACTTACTGGATGTTTTTCCGTTCTTTTTTTAAAGAAAGGTTGCCTTGAACTCACAGTGATCCTCCTGCCTCAACCTCCTAACCTCTGGGATTATGGACATGCCCACCACCAGGCCCGACTCAGTAACTTTTAGTGGAAAGGAGTCCTGAGGCCAACAGTCTGACTGCTGCTGCCCTGCGTGGGTCCTGAAGATGCACCCAGCATCTCTCCCCCCAACCCCTTCACTCCCATTTCTCATTGCCATCTGGTGCTAGCCAGGAGCTTCCGTGCCAGCCTCTCCCCACCCCAGGGCCTTTGTGCCTGCCACCTGCGATGCCTGGAGCTCTATCCATCTCTGAGGCTGAGCAGTGGGGACCAAGAGCCCGACCGCCACTTTCACCTTCAGTGTCTCCTTCACAGTGTGTCACAACCCATGGTTAATTCATTTATCTGTGGCTTTACTTATTCCATCACCTGCCATCAAAATGCGAGCCCAGGGGCCGGGGCCTGGTCTGTTCCCTCCATGCTGGCGGCCCCAGGAGGACTGGCGTGGCCACCTTTACAGGAAGCACAGTGACGGCATGCATGTGAACATGAAAACAGTAGGGCGCTCAGCTGTAGCTCAGTGGTCAGTCACTTGCCTGGCATCCATGAGGCCCTGGTTTCCATGTCCAGCACCAAAAAAAAAAAAAAAAATCTTTGTGGACAGAGAGGAAAAGCTACGTATGGGGGATGGCTATAGGGAAAAGGACCAAGGATGGTGGGTCAGATGCAGGGAGCACTTTGGACAGAGCACTTTTGCTTTGCCGCCAGATAGTCTTAAATGGTCAATATAAAAATAAAACATTTGTTTAAAAGAAATCTTTTAAAGAATCGTAGGTTTAAGCTGGGCATGGTGACACACACACACCTGTGATCCCAGCATTCTGGGAGGCTGAGGCAGGAGGATCAAAAGTCTGAGCGCAGCCTGTGCGACTTAGGGATTTAGCAAGACCCTGTCTCAAAATAATAAAAACAGAGCTGAGGGTGTGGCTCAGTGTGAAGGCCCCGGCTCCATCCCAGGCACTAAAACAGCAATAATGATGGGTTCCGGTGGGCTCCAGCTGTCTCCTCCAACCACCTGGACACCTTGCTCAGGCCAGCGTGCTGCTGCCCCAGGGCCTCTGCAGGAGCTGCGCTCGCTCTCCCATCCCCACCAGCCTCCCTTCAAGGCCTGGTCCACACCTAGTGTGGCCTACAATCGGAGAGGCCGGGGGGGCGTGGCCAGGTGGTGGGCGGGAAGTGCGGGACCGAGCCAATGGGCAAGAGGGGGCGGGGCCCGCGCCCAGGGCTGGCCGGGCGCGCTGATGGCTTTTCCAGAGAGGAAGCGGGGGAAGGTGCCAGGAAGAGATAAGGTGGGCGGCCGCCGGGACGCGGGGCAGCTCCGGGGTTTGTCTGGGTTTCCGGAGCCGCTCCTGGCTGGAGGGGGCACCAGGTGTCCGGCCCCGCCGCGCCCCGTCCGGGTCCCCCGGGCTCCAGCTCCTGCTTCCCCCAGGGAACTGGGGGTCGCGGGCGAGAAAGAGGGAGACCCAGTGGGGAGGGAGCCGGAGAGAGGCGAGGCGGCGATGGGGAAGCGCGGGGAGAGAGGAGCGCGACGGAGAGCAGAGCGGGAGCGGCCGGGGAAGGTGGTGCCCAGGCCCGCCCGGCCACACCGCTGGCTCCCGCGCAGAATTCTTGGGGGCGGAGGGGTTGAGTCACGCTCTCCCGTCCTTACACCAGCACCTCAGAACCTTCTGGGCCTCCCTGCCCACCTAGCTTCCGGGCCCCACTCCAGCCCCAAGGCCCGACCCGAGCCAGGCTCCTCCTGCAGCCTCGGCCTTGAATGCCCCTTCCAGCGTCTCACCCCGTCCTGCCCCTGCTCCGAAACCTGCAGTGGCTCTCCAGTACCCTGGCATAACCCAAAAGTCCAGCCTCAGAGGGAGTTACCCTCCCTGACTACGCCTCCAGGAAGCCTTCCCCGCCTCCCCTGGGCAACCTGGCCCCCGGAATGGTGGGTGTCTCCTCCCCAGGAGGCCCAGCAGGAGGGTGGAGGCTTGGTTGTCCTGTCCCCAGGCAGCACCACCCAGCAAAGGCTGAGCACAGAGGAGACGCTGTGAAGCACAGGGTTTGTTTAGTTTGTCTCCCTGGGTAAATATGTACTGAGCTCTGGCCTGGCCAAGCTCTGGGACTCATGGGCGGAGGACTTCCAAGGTCCCTGGCTCTGTGAAACTTAACCGGAGCTGAGGAGGCAGACGGCAAATACAGACCCAGACCCCCAGGACTGACACACAGGGCAGGGAAGCCCTGGCCCTGAGGGCAGAACTCCAGCAGGGTTAGGGATAGAGCAGGACCCACACAAACAGGGCCGGCAAGGACTCCGCTCCTGAGAAGATGGAATATGATGAAGACCTGACAGAGGTTCGGAGTGCACCAGCCATTCCAGTAGCTCGGTGGGAGGGAGCACAGGGAGAAAAGGTTTCCAGGAAACAGGACAGCAAGTGCAAAGGCCCTGGGGCAGGGCTAGGGGTGAGGTGCAAGGATTGACCTCGAGGACCTGGCTTTCAGAGATGGGAGTCATGGGAGCTGTGGGCAGAGGGGAGACAAGATACAATCTGATTGCGGGATGTGGTGGAGTGCTTGCCATCCCAACACTTGGGAGGCTGAGGCAAGAGGATCTCATGATTTCTGGCCAGACCTTGTCTCAAACAAAGGGAAAAGATACAGACGAGCCCAGGAGAGCAGACCCAGTACTCCCACCCGTCCTGCTGTGCTGGGCCCCGCCCCGCCGCCGCCGCTCAGCTCAGCTCAGCTCACCCTCGCCAGCCGGGCTCGCTTCACCAGGTCGTTGAGCTTGCGCAGCGCGGCGTGGCGAGGCAGGCCCTGGATGTCACGAAACAGGTCCTGCTCCTCCAGCTCGAAGAGGCGCCGGTTGTCGGGCACGAGGAGGGGCTGCGACCAGAAGGAGCCGATGTAGACGCGCAGGACCTCGGGCGTGCCCACCACCTTGCCCAGAGCCCACATGAGGGCGCCGTACACGCGCATCAGCTGCTGTGTCTCCACCATGTCGGCCTTGTTGAGCACCACGCGGATCTTGTCCTCGTAGCCTCGCAGGGCGCCGATGGCCTCGGAGAACTCATCGGAGATCTCCAGCTTGTGCGCGTCGAAGAGCAGGATGATGAGGTCCACGCGCTCCGAGAACCAGCGCAGCACTGCCGGGAAGTCATAGCCTTCGGGCCGCAAGGAGAGAGAGAGACTGAAGTCAGACCCGCACCCCTCCGTTCCGTAGCATCCCTTCGTTTTGTACTCATACTGGACAGTACGGATTTCAGATTGTTAATTCCCCAAATCCCGGTCTGTGCGAAATAATATGAGGTCCCACATGGGTCCCAGCACTCACGTTTTCTAGAGACCCCGATACTTCTGCAGACTCCCGGGCCCCTCCCCAGGATCCACCCAGATCCTGGCTGTGTTCTCGGCATCGCAAGAGTTACAGCATGTCTTCATGTTCCTTAACCCATTTTCTCAGTCTCATCTATACCCAGTGCGGTCCTGGGCGCCGGGGATGTGACAGGACACAGAGACAAGACCCTGCTGTCCTGGAGTGTCCCTTCCCCTTTGACCACTCACCCCCTCTCCCCCTCCCCTCTCTGCTTCTTCCCACATTTGTTCATAACTGGCAAAGCTTGGGGTTGTAATCCCAACACTGGGGAGGCTGAGGCAGGAGGATTGCTGTGAGTTCCAGGCCAGCCTGGACTACATGGGGAGACCCTGTCTCAAAAAGAGTAAAACAAAAAACCAAAACAGTAAGCACAGCCTGTGAGCCCAGAGCGAGCTGACTGAGACCTCTCAACCCGGCAGGCAGGCAGGCAGACCGGGGTGTGAATCCTTGCCCTGCCCCAGTAGCCCTGTAACTTTAGACAAGCAGCGGGATCTAACTTGTTTCCTCTTCTACAAACTGGGAATCACAGTAGCACCTACCTCACAGGGCCGCTGGGAAGATTAAAGGAATAAAAATGAGCTAATGGGTGTAAAGAGTTTAAAACAATGGCTAGCATCAAGCTGTATACTAATACGGGAGTGAGTTTTATGGCGTGTAAGTTATACATCCGCTAGGCATAGTGGTGCCTGCCTGTGATCCCAGCACTCCGGGAGGCTGAGACAGGAGGGGCGCAAGGTCAATCCTATTCTGGCCTGGACAATTTAGTGACTTAGTGAGATCCTGTCTCAAAAGGGGGGCGGGGGCGCTGGGGATGTAGCTCAGTGGCACCTCACCTGCCTGGCAAGCGCAAGGTCCTGAGTTCGATTCCTGGTACCAAAAAAAAAAGGTGGGGGTTGGGGGCGCTGGGGATGTAGCGCAAAATGATAGCCCTGGGTTCAATCCCCAGTACTGCAGAAGAAGAATAAAAACGAAAGGAAGACCGGGTACTAGGGAAACAGCAGCTGGGTCACAGGTGTTAGCCCTGGACGCGGCAGCCTCCGAAGGGGGTCACTCTGGAACCTCCCCAAGCTGCCTGCTGGCGGGGGGGGGCGGCGCCTGAGGCAGCACCGGCTCTGTCTTTATGGGCTCACAGTACCCAGTGTGGCAGCACTTTTGTGATCCCATTTTCCAGCCGAGGAAACGGGCACAAGAGAGTAAGGGGCTTATGCAAGACACACAGGCAGAAGGCCACAGGACAGAGGCCCGTGAGCCTCCACGCCCCGCTGGGGAGCCAGTGTGGGCCTGTCCTGGTCCTGGTCCTGCCCAGGCTCCTTGGGGACCCGGTGCGGTGGGCGGGGCGTTGTTTTGGGAAAGGGGCAGCGCACGTGCGCGCCGCGCACAGGGCCTGGACTGGGAAAGTGTGCCTCAGGCGCCTGGGAGGGAAGGAGAGCCAGGCTGAGTCAGCGTGAGATCAGGGCGGGGCGGGGCGGGGCGGGGGGGGGCGGGGCCGCCGGGAAACAAGCCCCGCCCCACTCGCACTGGGGCCGCCCAGCCCGCCGTGCCCCTGCTCTGTCCCAATAAGCCAGGGGTAAGGGTGCCACTGTCCCCGAGCACAGAGAGGGCGGGAGACAGGGCGGGTGGCATGGGAAGAGTCCCGCAGTTGAAAGCAGCCAAGCCGAAGGCAGATGCGTGGTGGCGCAGACCTGTGGCTGATGCAGGAGGATGGCCACAAGTTCAAGGCCAGCCTGGGCTACACAGTATGGCCCTGTCTCCCAGTTCCTGGCCCAGACTGGAAGTCGGCTAGGGAGCCCGGCTGGGCTGTCAAACACCGGGGTGCTCACAGGTGTTGCCTGCAGAGGCAGCCATGCCTCCAGCAGAGCACACCCGGCCAGACACAATCGGACTCATACAGTGGGAGATGCAGCCTTCCGGGCCACCCCGCTCACGGTCCCCGACACACAGACCCACACAGCCAGAGAAACCAGCACACACACACAGAGGCACACATACACCCCCCCTGGCCTCCAGAGACACAACCGTACACACTCAAGTCCACACCCTTCCGGATCCCAAGGCACCCACGGACACAGTCACACATTCCCACACAACGCTCTCTCTCTCACACACACACACAGGGCACAGCTGTGCACAGACACTGCACACGTCTGCAACACATATCTACCCGGGCCTCCCTCACACAGACTCCCACTCCCAACTCGGCACCTTCCCAGACCCACACTGCTTTATCCAGTCACACAAAAGGTGTTTCTCAGACACGGCCTCCTGCACTGTTTCACCACATGGCCGTGCGCAGAGATTGCCAGACACGGGCCCACAAGGCCCACCCGGTGGTCACACACGTGGCACCTCCACTCCCACCACACACACAAGGACACTTTCCCAGGACACACAGCCGGTCGGACACACACAGAAATCAAGCCCGGGACTCCTCTTCCTGTACCCGAAGGCCAGGGAAGAACACCTTCTCCACTCCCTGTAGAGACTTGGGGCCCTGGCTTCCTCCTGTCCCCGTGGGTGGGAGCCCCAGGAATTCCTCTCGCCTGGCAGCGTGCCCTCACCCTCCCTCCGACACTTCTACAGCTGCCTCCTGCCTCTCTCCCGCTTCGGCTGCACCGCTGGACAGGAGCCAGGGACACGGAACCCTGGGCGTCCCCGCCTCCCCCTGGCCTCCCGTCCCCTCTGCCCCACACTGCGGCCTCCTTTGCCCTGGTTCCCGGCCTGCAAGGCTGGGAGGGGAGTGGAGATGGGGGGGCAGATGCTGGGTCCCGTGGGGAGGGGGGCGGAGGCCTAGCAGGGCGGCTCCTTCAGGGCCCTGCTGGAATTCACCCTGCGGCTCCCCCTGCACAGCTGTTTATAAATTCCAGCTCGGCCTTGGCCCGGGCCCAGATTCCCCTCCCGGCCCCTCCAGCCCCATCTTCGGCCCAGCTCTGACTCTCCTGGCCCAGTCACTCACTCCGAACCCTGCCTCTCTCAGCGGCTCTGTCTCTCTGCACTTCTCCCTGGGCCTGCTCCGAGCTGGCCCAGACCTGTTCCAGGCGGCTCGCACGTGTCCCCCACATGCCTCCCACGGCACCCAGCACCCACAGAAAAATCTCAGCCTCTCAGGAGTGCCCTCTGCTACCCAGCCACCCATGGGCTCCTGACAGCCAGGCCCGAGTCCCAGCAAGGACCCAGCCTCCTCCCTCAGACCCAGGGTCCAGGCCCAGCTTCTCCCTCAGATCCCAGGGTCCTGATCCCCAGCAGGGAGGCGCGGTGTCACCCCCCTCACTCACCCCGGCTCACTCTCTGCTTGGCGCCCGACAGGATGCCGGGGGTGTCGATGATGCTGATGCTCTCCAGGACCTGGTTGGGGAGCTGGGCGCACATGAACCTGGGGGGGCAGGAAGGTCAGGCGTCAGCGCAGAGGCAGACGTGAGGACAGGAAAGAAGGCAGTGAAGACTCCACAGCTGAGGGTCCCAGAGAGGAGGGCACTGTGCTCCCCAGGAGCAGCCACCCCAGCCAGCCTGCCCGAACCTGTTGAGGAAGGTGTTCCCGAAGGGGTTGAGCTTTCGGAAGGGTTTGTCTGGGTCCACAACCAGAGCGTTGCCGGGCACGGTGCCCTCGGTGTCACCGTGCATGACGGCCACGAAGCAGTCGGTGGTGGGCTCGGGCCCCACGCGGGAGCCGGGCACCTCCTGTTCCAGCAGGTACTGGATGAAGCTGGTCTTGCCGGTGCTGTACTGGCCGGCCACCAGCACCATGGGCTTGCCGTCGAAGTCTGCGTCCTCCAGGGCTGGCGAGTGGAAGGCGCCAAAGCGGTAGTGCTCCTCCAGTGGCAGCAGCTTGCCGCGGTACAGCTCCTTGAGTGCCGAGGTCACCGTGCGGATGGCCTCGGGCTGCTGGCCCCGCGCCCCGCCCCGCTTCAGCCAGCTGAACATGGTGGCCGCACCGGGTTTCGAGGGAGGGAGACGAGGTGGGGAGCAGCTGCCTGCCAGGTCCTGGAGAGCGCGCTGACCTCGGGCGGGTGGCCTGGAGGGGCTGGGCGGCGGAAGAGGGCCGGGAAGAGGGGTCACCGCGAGGAACAGAGCGTGGCTGGAGAAGGGAGCTGTTGGTGGGAGCCCAGGATGGCACAGGGGAGCGCGCTGCCCGGAAGAAACGCATTCCTGAGCCCTGGCGCCATCCAGCTCACTTCCTGTGCCTTGGAGCAGGGGGACTGCGACCCCAGGCCACCTGCCCCATGAGGAGCTGGACACCAGGCAGCTAGTGACGCCAGGACAATGCCAGGCATTGAGAGGAGGGCATGAAAACCTGGCCACAGGGCCAAGAAAGCCCGGAGCTTTTTTTTTTTTTTTAAATTTTGAGACAGTGCCTTCCTAGAATGCTAACTTGCCCAGGCTGGGCTCAAACTTGTGATCCTCCTGCCTCAGCCTCCCTGGGTACTGGGATTATAGGTGTGCACCACCATGCCCAGCCAGGGCTGAGTACTGAGCTGCTGCGTAAAAGACAGGCAAGACAAGCAACTGAGGCAGAGGGTGCTAAGTGCAAATGTCCACGGGTAGCAGAGGCCCTTGGGCACTGGCAGTGAAATCCAGGGTGCGGACTCACGAGAGGTGAGAAATGGGGCTGAGGTGGCCTCTGCTCATTTAATCTTCATCACCTAGAAAGACAGAACTACTATTTTCCTCATTTTTGTTTTTTCCGAGATGGGGCCTTGAACTCATGGAGATCCTCCAGCCTCAGCCTCCAGAGTGCTGGGATCACAGGCGTGCACCAACACACCTGGCCAGATTTTTTCAGAGAACTAGGTCTTGATCAACCTGGCGGCTAAACCCCATTCCCACGGGAAGAATGCTGGGCTCTCCGGAGAAAGGCAACCCCAGGGCTGGGCAGAAGCAGAGCGAGGCGCCGAGATCAGAGTGGGACTTGTTAGATCCGCGGGGCGTGTCACAGGGACGCAGGGCCCAGCGTGAGCCGCGTCCCACTAGCCAAGGAGGGGACTGTGCGCACACCAAAGTAACTGCTAAAAATCCGTAACACGAGGACACTTCAAGGGGGTGGGGAGGGGAAAGGGTCCTCGAGGAGATGGGCGCGGCAGGAGCAGGGCTCGGGGTGCGCAGAGGTGGGGTCCCGGGCGCTGTCTCAGGCAGGGAGGGGTCCCGAGGACTTTCAGGGGAACGCTTGGGGCTGTAGGGTGCGGGGAACCTAGTGGGACAGAGAAAGGGCGGCTTGGAGGATGGCGAGAGGCGTGGGGACCTGGGGAAACGAAGCATGTGAGATGGGGACCCCGGGACGGTCACGGAGGGAGGGGACGCGAGTTCTGGGGCACTCACCGGGCTGGGGTCCCGTCCGAGGGCAACGCGGCTGTGCTCCGTCCAGTCCCGAGCCGTCTGCACCGGGTGGGGCCGCGGGAGGAGGGGCGAGGGCGAGGGCGAGGGCGGGGGCGGGGGCGGGGCGCGGCGCGGCCCCCCCAAACGGCGCCGGCCTCGGGCGTCCCCTGGCGGACATGGGCGAGGGCGCCGCGGCGGGACGCGCGGGCTCCAGGCCCGGGTTCGAATTCCACCTGCGCCTGGGAGCCGGGCGCCTCGCGGTCCGCCGCCCTTCTAACATGGGAATAGGAATAGCTTCGGCAGCTGCTCTAATAATTCTGATCTTTTTAAACCTTAAGTGAGCACTCAGGGGATTGAGGCAGGAGGATCACCCTGAGTTCGAGGCCATCTTGGGCTACATAGTGAGTTCAAGACCAGCCTGAACTACATAGGGAGACTCTGCCTAAAAATCAAAACAGAACCTTAAGTGAGTTCGTGCAACTCTGCCTACAGCCCTCCCAAAGTCCCTATGGACAGGCGACCTCGGAGATTGCCCGGGCCTGGATGCTGCACCCCCTGTAGTAATTGCTTTGTCTCCAGGCCCCCAAACCCCAGGACTCAGAGCATCCGAGGCCTTGAATGGAGTCCTACCCTGACGCTGCTTGAAGAGAACCTCAGGGAAGCAACTTTGAATCTGTGCCTCAGTTTCTGCACTTATAACCCTTTATCTGGGCTTCAGGGGACTTTGCTCCAATGCATCCCCTCAGCAAAACCCCTGCCCCACCCCTCCCTCCTGGTCCCTTCCTGGCTTGATTTCCCACCTAGGCACTTGTCACACTGGCCAGTCCACATCTGTGGAGACAGGGTTTCACAATATAGGCCAGGATGGCAAATGTCTGCTCCCTGAGGCAGGAATGGGGGGGTGTTGTTTAGTTTTGGGGGGACTTGTGTTTAGTTTATTGGTTTTTGAGACAAGGTCTGGCTATGTAGCCCAGGCTGGCCTCGAACTCACAGCAATCCTCCTGCCTCAGCCTCCTGAGTGCTGGGATCACTGGTAGGTGCCACCACACCCCACTGAGGGAAAATTCTGTCTGATTTGCTCCCTGTTGTCACCCAGTGCCTGGAACACAGCTATTTTTACTTCTTTTGTGGTGCTGGGTGGAACCCAGGCAGGGCCTGCTGCACACCTGCCAGGTGCTTTGCCACTGAGCTACACCCTAGCCCACGAATAAATCCTCGTGATGCAGATTTAACTGTCTAAATAAAATACCTGGTACTTACACAGAAGCTGTCTCATCGGTGGAAAGCACCAAGTCCATCACTGGGGTGGTGCAAATGCTCTAAAGTGGACGGTGATGGGGTTACACACCTCCATGAACACACTAACAGCCACTGAATTCTGCAGTTTACTTAATTCATTTATCGATTAATTTTTTGAGTCTTTGGAGACAACCTCACGCCTAGGCAAGTGCTCTAGCCCTGAGCCACAGCCCCGTATTCTGCCGGTGGTTTTGTTTTGCTTTGTTTTGTTTTCAGTACTAGGGATGGAACCACCTCATTTTTGTCCCTAGCTCCCTCTGTCCCCTCAAACTTCAAAGGACTGTGACGCACGCCACCGTGGGACCTCAAAGACACCAGGCGGAGTGGAACCACCTGGCTCACACCCACCAGAGGCAGAGCTCAGGGACAGGAGCACAGCAGGCAACAGCAGAGGCTGCTGCAGGGGACAGAGGTGCAGTGTGGAGCGGTGACCAAGGCGGTGATGGCTGCCCAATAATGTGCATGTGCTGCTTACCCGCCACTTCAAAATGGCGGCAGTGGAGCCAGGCATGGTGGCGCACGCCTGTCATCCCAGCAGTCTGAGAGGCTGAGGCAGGAGGATCGCCATGAGTTCAAGGCCCCAGCCTGAACATCACAGGGAGACCCAGCCTCAAAACTCCAAAACAAACAGAAAAAGGCCATGTGGCAGGGTTGTAGCTCAGTGGCACTGCGCCTGCCTCGAAAACGCAAGGTTCCGAGTTCAAACCCCGGTACCAAAACAAAAAAGACCATGAAGTCCCACACAGGAGTTGCCACTGACCCAGCAAGTGTCACCCACATGGTCTTGGTCACCTGGGCTCCAGGCCCGGTCAGCCAGGCAGGCCACACACCCAGAATCCCAGGCGACCTTTACTAGGGACAGAGACTGGGACCCAAGGGGCATGGTTGAGTGGTGGGAGCGTCACTCTAGACGGGGAGGTAACGGGCACCCCTGTAGACCTCATGTATCCGTGTCCACCCACAATCAGGCTGGGAAGCTGCAGGGAAAAGGGGTGCAGCCCCCTGAGCCTGTGCCACCTTGGGCCAACGTGGTCCGCCATTCATGAGCTCTGCTTCCACCAGCTACCTCCTCCGTCCCAGCAGCCTGGCTTCCCTGACCCTCAGCGCTCCAGCCCTGATCCTGCCCCAGGGTCTTTGCACAACTGACCCCTCTGTGTCGGAAGCCCTTCTCCCAGATATCCCCTCAGCCTCCTCCCTTTCCAAATGGCTCTGCTCTCACATCACCTCCTCATAGAGCCCGACTTCGATGCCTGATTCCAAGACTGTCAAGTGCACTTGAGCAAGTTTTTTACTGCACAGGTCATTCACTGACTGGGTAAGAAGGGGTAGAATTCAGCTCACATCTTTGCTTTCCCAAGTTGAGGCCTAGGAAAAGGGTTACGGTTTTGTAACACTCAGAAGGCACTAGCAGCTGCCTTGAGAATGATGTCTGCTGTTTAAAGCCACCTAACTTGTGGCAGTTTGTTACAGTAGCCAAAGGAGACGAGTTTTCCTTTTTTTCCCCTTGAACTTGCAGCAATCCTCCTGCCTCAGCCTCCTGAGTGCTGAGATCACAGCATGGGTCACCTGCATATTACTGCTGTGTAAATAGGCGTCATCTTGGATTGTGTAGAGGATGATGATAAGAAAGACGTCTATACATGTTCATTCAGTACAGACAAAATTTTTTAAATTGGGATTTAGCTCAGTGGTGCCACGCTTGCCTTGCAAGTACAAGGTCCTGAGTTTGATCCCTGGTACCAAAAAAAAAGATTTCCCATCCATGGTCAGTTGAACCCACAGATGTGGGACCCATGAGTGTGGAGAGCCAACTGTATACACTGAAAAAGATGACTTTAAACATAAGACAAGGCGACACGCGGACCTGTTGGTGGTGACAGTGTGACCACACGCTGCTGGGGACCACAAGACCCTCCTGGCTGAAGGGCTTTTAGCTGCTGCCAGGCAGGGACGCCTGCCACGTTCACACACCCGGGGCAGAGTAGGGCCTGGTGTCCCCACGCACCCCGCCGCCACCCCAACGCCAGCCATCCCCGACCCCCCAAAGCAAGGGACCGAGGAGGCTCGAGTACAGTCTTAAAAAAAAGGATTGGTTTTTTAATTTACAAGAGTTCTAAATGTACAGAATTCTCCTTTTAAAAAATCGTTATACACAATAAATACAGTACAAAAAAATTTATCTTACAGTACTAGTTCTGTCTCCGAGATTTCAAAACGTGGCGTGGGAGGCAGGAAGGAGCGGGAAGACGGCTGGAGGAGGGAGGAGCCCGGGCCGCGGCTGAGATTCCCAAGGGAGGGACTGAGCGACCAGGATCTCTCACTTGCACGCGCACGTGCGCGTGCACACACACACACGGATGCGCAGGCACAACTGGGCAGGGCCCGCGGGTGCCCTCCTCGGGTTTGGTTTACAGCCTGGGCCAGGAGGCTCGGGGCCTGGCAGGACCCCCAACACCCCTGGCCACGATCCTGATGCCACACAGACAAGACCGGTGCCTGGGCCGGGCCGTGGGAACACCCGGTTCCCCCTCCCGGGCACACACGCTCACGCGCGCCCAGCAAAGCCGGCTGCAGCCGGAAATGGGAAGAACCAGAAGCGCCGCACCAGGGAGCCCCTCCTTTGGCGGGGGACACATGTACATGACAGCCCCTCCCCTGAACCCACGCGCCCCACCGGACCCTCAACAACCCCCAAGGAGAGGAGGCCTTTGTGACTCAAATAACTTAGGCAAGAAGGACTATGGGGTCCCCGCCGGTGTTCCCGGGCAGGGCAGGCGGCGGCCCGGTGTTATCTGTTCAACGTCCTGCCGGGGCCCAGGCCCCCGTTGTGGCTGGAGGGCGGGAAGGCCTCGGGCCTGTGCAGAGGCGGCGGGGACTGGGGCGCGGGGTGCGGGCCGGGCCGGCCGGGCGGCTGCTGCAGGTTCAGGATGCTGTCGATGGCGCTCTGCAGGTGCTCCGTGAGCGCGTCGTCCTGCGGGCTGTCGCTGGAGAAGCTGGCCTGGTCCATGTCGGGTGACTCGGACTTGCGCCGCTTGGCAGGCGGCGCGGGGGCTGCGTCCCAACCGGGGTCGGGGTCCGGGGCGCTGGGGGCCGCGGGCTCGGGCGCTGCCGCCTTGCGCAGGCGCTGGTACAACTCGTCCTCCACCGCCGCCAGCTCGCGGATGAGCCCGCTGGTGGCCTCTTCGGCGCGCCCGCCCACATTCTCGCGGTAAGTCTTGCGCAGCGGCAGGCGCGGGCCGTGCGTGCCGGGCCCCGGCCCCGGCCCAGGTCCTGGCCCCGGCCCCGGCCCGGACGGCTTGCGCTCTCGCTCGGGGGCGGGGGACGCGCGCTCGGCCGTGCCGTTGACCTGGCTAGCGGTGGGCGGAGGCTGGTGCACTGGGTCGAGCGCCGTGTTGTGCACCACCTTGCTGAGCCCCGCCTCCTGCTTGATCTTCAGCTTCAGGCCGATGCGGCTGCGCGCCTCGTATGTCTTGATGGGCGGGCGGTTGCGTGATGGCATCGGGCCGTCCTCGTCGGCGTCCAGGGACGAGGCCGCGCAGGACGACAGGGACGGGGACGGCAAGGTCGCGGACGAGGTGCGGGCCCAGGTCACGGAGGGGGAGCCGCCCACCCCGCCGTGCCGGATCACGAGCTTGGTGGGCGGATGCGCAGGCGCAGGGACGCCAGGGGCTACGGGCGGCGCAGGGCCGTGGCTGGGTGGCCGGGGGCCCTCGGAAGAGGCCACCGCCACGGGTAGGCCGAGGGAGCGCGAGGAAGACACGTATTCGTCTGCAAAACCGGGGACAGAGCAAACCCAAGGGGTTAGGACTGGGAGGCTCCCTGCGGCCCAGCACACCCGTCCGCAGGACCAAGTGCCCCGACCTTTGTTGCTGCTGCTGCTGCTCGTTTTGCAGCACTGAGCTGCGTCCCTGGCTCCTTTTTAATTTTTTAGTTTTTGAGACAGGGTCTTGTTATGCAGTCCAGGCTGACCTTGAACTCACAGGGATCCTCCTGCCTCAGCCTCCTGAGTGCTGGGATTACATGTGCTTGCCTCCAAGCCCAGCTTGGGTCTGACTGTTGATCAGCAATACCCAAACCCTCCTGAACCCTCCTCCTTAATCGCACTAACAGATGGCCACACGGAGCTACTCAGAGTTAGGAATAATTAAAATAACATAAAACAGGAAGTGCAGTTCCTCAGTCCTGTAAGCCCCATTTAATGCTCAAGAGCAGCACGGGCCAGAGGCTCCAGCCTGGGCAGCACAGCTAAGGTACCATCAGCACTATAGGAGTTCTGTGGACAGCGGTGGCTCTACAGGGGTGTTCTGTGGGAAAACCATGGCCTGACCTGCCCCCTGCGTTGGGTGCCCCTCTGGTTCACCACAGAAACTCCTGTCTCACCCACAGCTGCTTCCCAGGGGCCCCGGGGCCACAGCAGCCTCTCCAGGGCAAAGCCAGCCACCGGTCATACACCCTAAGGGATCATCACTGCGCTCACAACCTCCACTCTACAGAGGAGGCGGAGAGGTCAAGTAACTCTCCAAGGTCACAAAGCCACTAAGTGGCAGAGCCAAGATGTGACCCGGGGCTCCAGGACATAGCAGAAGGAAGGCAAGAGTCTGAAGAGACAAGCAGGAGATTCTCCTCCTGAAGGAAGCAATGGGCTTAGCTGGCAGGAACATGGGCCCGGCTAAAGGGATATTCTGGGTTAGACTGGACTTTTCCCTGCAGACTGGGGTGAGGCTTGCGAGACGCTGAAGGTGCGCACTTTAAGGGGCCGTTCACTTGCAGTGCTACACAAGCTCAGGATCAGCACAAGTGGTCCCGCCACCATACATTGTGCAACCCAGCCGCCTGGCTCCCCAGTCCCAGCCCTGATGCAGGGAGGGACGGCTGTGCATGCGCAGTAAGGCGACGTAGCCTTCAAAGGTGCCAGGGAGAGGGCTCGGGCGCCGCCCAGTGGCGAGCCGTGCAGCCCACAGCCAGCGTGTAAAAGCAATGCCCCGCCCCGCTCACCGGGCTTCTCCTTGGCCAGCTGTTTATCCAAGGCAAGGGTGGTCTTCTCCTCCTGAATAAACATGCGGTCTATCATCACCATCTCCGCTGAGGGGCTCACTCGCTGGGAGAAGAAAAGATCCCCAAGTGAAAAGGCAAAGAGGTAAGAGGAGGCACAACAGGGGGGCGCCCTTTTCAAACTTTTTTTGGGGGGGATCACTAAGTCACATTGCTCAGGCTAGGCATGAACTTGCGATCCTCCTGTCTCATCCTCCCAGATGACAGACGTGTCACCGCGCCCAGCCCCCCACTGTCCCTGCGATGTGACCATCTCCCTCCCGACCTCCTTTCCGGCAGAGGGGCCGGGTGGGATGTGGGCCCTACCCGGGACTCCTCCAGGAGCAACAACCGGTACTTATTGAGCATGGCATGGGTGCGTTTCAGCAGCTGTGTGGAGACCGTCTCAAACTCCTCGTCCACTGCCAGGAAGAGAAGGAGTGCAGGGCCAGGATGTTGGGGGGCTGCACACTGCCCATGCACCCCGAGCCGGGCAGGCAACTGCAGCACAGGGGCTCAGTGGTTTCCACGAGCTGATGGCCCAGCCAGGGCCTTGGGGACATGCGGGGAGGGAGGCCTCACCTTTGTGGTAGTCGCTAGGGGAAGGGAGGGCGCCCTGGTAGACGTGGTAGGGCAGGAGGCGGTGCAGGGCGTCCTCGAAGGAGGGGAAGGCTGTCTTGTAGTCGGGGTGGAGGACGGAGCCCTGGTGTTTGTGCAAATGCTCCAGAAAGCTGCGGGTGGGGTGGGGCGAGACCACAGGCAGGCGGGGGTGAGGCCCGGGGAAGCTGTCCCCCACCCCAGCCCCAGCCAGACACTCGATGGGGACTGCAGTGCGGGCTATCATGACTCCCACTTCACCGAAGAGGAAACTGAGGCCCGGAAAGGTGAGGTACAGCCACTCTCCTGCCAAGAGCACACGTGGAGGAAGAGCGTTGGGCGGGAGTCCCTGGGCCTGGGGGCCTCTATTCTGTCCCCTGCCACCAGGGGGCAGCCGTCTCTGGCTGCCAGGACCCTAGGCGCCCGAAGGGGGGTGGTGCTCTCTGGTGTGCCGGCCCCATCTCTACCCTTTCCTGGTGACCTGCAGCTCCTATGGGCAGGGAACAGGTGTGTCTTGTGGGCTGTTGTGTCCCCAACATCCAGCACGGGGCACACCTGGTACTTACATCTACCACCTACCCAGAATGGCACCTGGCCATTCTGACCCCAGCACACCCAGCCACACAAGCCCACACCCACTTACCCACCCACCCACTTCCGAGGCTGAGGGGCCCAGGGGATGGGATGGCACCAGACTAAATCGCTGCCCTCCTGAAGATGGCAGCCCGACGGGGTCCCCACACTCCTCACCCCCAGGGTCCCCTGGCACTGTTACCCCCCTCCCCCAAGACAGGGTCTCAGTTGAATCCCAGGCTGGCCTTGAACTCTTATTGTCCTCCCTCGGCCTTTTTTTTTTTTTTTTTTTTAACTATAGGATCCTCCTTGATTTCCTTCAACTTTTCCTCAGCCTCTTGAGGGCTGGGATTCAGGCATGCGCCACCACGCCTGGGTCCCCAGTCTTCTCCAGGAAGGAAACAAGTGCACTCTGGTGAAAGCACGCTGCCTCCAGCAGTGCAGCTGGGCATGCGCAGAGAGGGTCTCCCAGAGGGGCGCAAGGTGGGGTGCAAGGGAGGCGCTGCCACTCACCAGGCCTCCTTGCTGGGCTGCAGGGTGGGGGTTTTCTTCAGGCCGCTCAGCTTGCCCTCATACTGGGGAGGATGGGAGGAGACACGAGGCTGAGGCAGGCTCCACCCACCCACCAACCCGCAGGTCTCCCACACCCACAACCACATTTTGCCCCACATCACTTTGTGTTTTTCTTTTGCTCTGCCTTAGTGTCGCCCTCCACTCCCACGGCTGTCCGGGGACTCGCCCGCGCCGGCCTCCCTGTCCTGGGCCACTTCCTGTAGCACCGCCGCTTTCCCTCCTCCTGCCTGTGTCGGCTGCTGGTCTCCGAGTTTAATCTCCAGCCCTGCCACTGGGTCCCGGCTGCCCGTCCCAGCCCTGCCCGAGGGCCTTACCTGCAGCCCGGAAGACTTCGCTGGCCCAGGTGCTGCGGTCTTGGCCACACTCAGAATCGGCAGGTTGCTGGGAAAAGCTTTGCTCTCGGCCGGAAGCAGAGGAGCGAGGCCTGTGTGTGGCGGGCAGGACCGGCCCAGGGTCACTGGCACGGAGGTCCCACCTCGGCGGGGAGCTTCCTGCCCTACACCTGCCCGGCCTTCTCCTGCCCATGGCCCCAAACCCGGGTGATGCTGGGGATCAGGGCACCCCAGCGCTCTGCCCAGCCCGCCCCTCTAGCTCCGTGTCTCCCACGGGGCGCTCCCCTACCTGTGGTGGCCATGGGTGCCGGGGCGGGGGGGTGGCTGGAGCCGGTGGGGGTCCCGGGTGGGGCAGGCCCGCTGACCAGCACCGAAGCAGTGGGGTTGGCGAGGGGCCCCAGGCTGGTGGGAGTCTGCTGGGTGCCAGGGGCTCCCGCGGCCTTGTTCTGGAGGAGGATTCCGGACGGCACCTGAGGAAGGACAGGTGACTGAGGGGAGGGGGCCAGGGGCCGGATGCACCAGGGCCGGGCCGGGGCGGGGGCGGGGGCAGCGGCGTCCCTGCTCCGATTACCTGGTGAAATCTCTCGAGCAGAGCCTTCGGCTGGGGCAGCGCTGGGAAGGGGGTGGTCACCATCTGGAAGGTCCGAGGAGGCGGTGGGGGGGGAGCCGCGGGCTCGGGGGCCAGGTGGAGGGTCGGCGGAGGGGTGGGGGACTTGTGGGGCCCCTGGCCGGGTGGGAACTGGAGCTGGAAGTCTGAAGGCGTGGGGGCCGGCAACCTGGTGGGCGTCTCAGAGGAGGTCACTCCGGAGGGGGTGGAGGCCGCAGGGAGGTGGGGGGTCGGGGGCAGTGGGCCCTCAGGGGGCTGGGACGGGGGCCGCAAGGCGGGCTGGGGTGGACCTGGGGCCGTGGGGGCCGGGGCACTGGTGGGCGGGGGGACGCCCAGCTGGTTCTGGATGACAAAGATGCCGGGCAGAGTTGGGGGCGGTTGAGGTGGTGGGCAGGGGTGCAGGGCCGGCTCAGAGGGTGGGCGGGAGAGGCTCTGGGGCTGGGACGGCGGGCGGGAGTGGGGCCGGGAGGGCGGGCGGGAGGGGGGCCTGGCGGGGTGCGGGGAGGGCATGTGGGGGCTGTCTCCCAGGGGGGCCTGGTGAGGTAGTGACGGGGACGAGGAGGGGCCGGGGCCCTTCAGTGGAGCCGCCGCTGGGATCTGGGCAGGGGAGGAGGGAGAGCGAGGGACGGGGTCAGAACCAGCCTTGGCTCCCGCGGCCACCCCGACCGAACCCTAAGCCCACCTCCGTGCCTACCTGCGTCCTGAGACCCCACCAGGCCACCCTGCCCACCCCAACGCCCCACACCCCCGCCTGCGTCCCTGCCCGATCCCCCTCTGCCCCCTTGCACCCCCACCCCCCACAAAGGTGAGCCCTGTGGGTGGGGCAGCAGCGGGGAAGCTGAGGCAGCCGTGGGGAGCAGCGAGCAGAGCAAGGAGAAGGGGGCAGCCCGCCACTCCAGCCAGGTCAAGGCAGACAGGCACCAGCGCGGGCCGGGGGACCAGGGTTTGGGGCAGGAACGGCAGCGGCGGGGTGGGAGCTGGACGCTGGCTCGGTGTCAGCCCCATCTGGGTGTCGGCCCGCTCCCGTCCCTGTGTGGTGTGGCCACAGCCCGCCTGGGTGCCCAGGCCTGGATCTGCACCCACAGGCACATGGAACCTTGCAAGCTGTGACACCCACAGTGACCTCCCCTAAGCAGGCCTGGGCCGAAGACTGAGCCCCCTGGACTCTGCACCCCAGAAGGAGACCATGCAGCCGCCATGCAACCACTGGGCACCAGCTGTGTGCCCAGGGCTCCCTCCCGACAGCACAGCCTGTCTTAACCTACTTCACAGGCCTGAAGCAGAGCCAGGGCGCACAGAGCTCCAGTCTCTACAGGGAGCACAGCACAGACCAAGGCTGTGATCCACGCCCGTCTCCCACTGGCCTCGTGGGACTGGCCAGGCCCCAAAGCTGACTGGGGAGGACCTGACTCAGAGGGTCCCCAGCTTGGGCCTCTCCTCAGAGTCACCACTAGCTTCAGCTCGAGTCCCCGGACCCTTCCAAGCCTGGCCCTGAGTCACTTCTGGTGATTAAAGCCTGGGACACAGGGAAACAGCCCGATCACAGCTGGCCCAGGCCTCCCAGAGGGACATGGCCGCCACAGGAGGTGCAGGGGGCTGCCCCGACATGGCCACCCTCTAGAGTGGGGGGAGCAGGGAACTTTCACAGGGCTTGCGATCTTGGGCCTGGAGACCCCAGGTGATAACATTCGGGGGGGGGGAGGGACAGGGGCCAGACACTGGCACCTGACTCCTGGAACCTGCAGGGCAGTGTCGCTAAAGACGCACGCCCCTGCGTGTGTGTGTTTGTGGTTTGGTGCTGGTGCTCACACCCAGTGCCTCCTGCATGTTAGGCAAGCGCTCTGCCACTGAGCCACATCCCCAGGCTGTCTAAAGACATTTTTTAAACTGTTTACCCTTTCCACAAAGAATAAATATTTTAAAACTTAAAAACAGAAAAAGTGTGTAGAGGGCGTCAGTGATCCCCACCGTGGGAGAATTCACAACAGGGACAAAGAGAGACAACCCAAGGACCACAGTGAACGCGCTGTGCGTGAAAAGCCGAGAGCCTGTGCACTCCTCTCCCTGAATACATTTCCGGGCAAGCACGGTGCAGCCCAAAGACCACGACTTAGGGGTGCTGGGTGTCACATTGGATTATTAACGGCAGGTGATACAACTGCACGGTAAATCTGCTTTGATAACAAGATGATGGTAATACTACACTAAAATATTAAGGAGTAGAGGAGCATAACATCTGCAACTTAGTCCCAAGTGATTTATGGGAAAAAATGCATACATATAGTGAGAGCTAAGCATAATGCAAATTGGGGGGGGGTATTTTTTTGAGACCGGGTTTTGTTCAGCACTCAGGAGGCTGAGGCAGGAGGACTGCAGGGTGTTTGAGGCCAGCCTGGGCTACACAGTGAGCTCAAGGCCAGACTACATATCAAGACCCTGTATCAAAAAATAAAAAAATAAAAAAATAAGGAAACAAAAATGTAAGTTTTAAATATTTTTCATTCTCATTAAAAATGCAGACAAACTGGACATGTTAACCTGTAATTCTAGCACTCTGGGAGGTGAAGACAGGAAGATTCCAAGGTTGAGCCCAACCCGGGCAACTTAATGAGAACTTAAATCAAAATTTAAGAAAGGGCTGGGGATGTAGCTCAGTGTGAAAGCCCTGGGTTCAAGGCCTACCACCTCAAACACTTATGTTGGGAGCCATTTTATGTAATTTTGGGGAAAAATCATTTCACAGTTAATTTATGGGGGTTTTTTTTGGCAGGGGGTTGTCATTTGTCTTTTTTGGTACCAGGGACCAAACTCGGGAGGTTGCACTTGCAAGGGATGCAGTGGAACCACTGAGCTAAATCTCCAGTCCCCACAATTAATTTATGCTTAGGGCTGTCAGAGGTCTAGTCTTCTCGCCTGAGGGCTGGCTATGGCATGTGGAAACACTCCGTTTTGCTTCTGGTCACAGCTGAGGCCTCAATGGTCCCGTGATACTGTGGGGCTCAAGGGCAAGATTCCATCAGCTGGAAGACATCCTGGTTCTCTAAGAACCAAATAGTAATTCAAAATGAGAAAGGTTTCACCTGGGGAGGAGCAAATTACCTACAGCTTAACTCATCCCGCCTACTGCTGTAAGAACGCTTTGCTCATCTCACTGTCCTAATCAACTTGAGCTCCTCACCGACCTAAGAGCCTCAGCAACCTAAGATCCTCATCCTCATAGGATCACTGCCACCCGCCAAGCTGACTGATACTCCCTCCGATTATAAGATCCCCATCAATTTAGGATTATCGCCGCCCTCTGAGTCAGCTAATATTCCCTATGAATCCAATAAATAGCAGCAAGCTCGGAGAGTCTTTGTCTCTGCCCGCTCTGAGGCACTGACCTCCTGGCCCCTCATATACTTTATTTTTTTGGTACCGGGGCTCTAATTCGGGACCCTACGCTTGCAAAGCAGGCGGCAGAACCGCTGAGTTAAATCCCCGGTCCTCCCCCCATAAACTTTCAAATTACACAAGCCTCTCATCTTTTTTTTTTCTTCAGCCCTCTCAGTCCCCCTTTCTAGGCAGTTGGAGGATTGATCACCCTCCAATACACAGAGTCCACAAACTTACATCTGCAGCAGAAATGACAAGACTGCTGAAAAGATCTATCATTCAGAGACACACAAAGTTCAGCTCTTCCACACACAAAGAGCCGCTAGAAATCACTCAAGGTAACAAGCAGATGAGAAAAACGGCACAAAGGACACAATGAGATGGTGCACAGAAAAGGAAATACAAAAGGCTCAGTATTTCAAGATGTTCCATCTAACTCGTCTTAAGAGAAATGCACATCACAAGCCCTGGTGCCATAGTTTAACCAATCACATTTGGAACTAGCTGAATATTTAGCACCAACACCTGGGTCTTGGGTCCCTGGGGTCTGCACTGGACCGAAGAATGCAGGTCAGCAGCGGCCACCCAATTACGCATGCACATGGGCTGTGAGCCAGCAAACAGGTTCCCAGGAAGGGAGCAGGTGAACGCCCTGGCAGGCGTGGGGAATGGTGGGGCAGGCTGGGGTGCAGCCCCAGCTTATGAAAGTAAAGGAAATTGGTGGGTGTGGTCATGCACACTTATAATCCCAGCTACTCAGGAGGCCTAGGCAGTTTCATCACAACTTCAGGCAGTCCGGGAACTTAGGGACTGAGTGGCCTCCTGCAGCTCCATGTGGACACCAAAAGGCTGGGAGGGACCTAATGTCCCTTGGCGGTGTTTACTGGGGAAATGAATCACAGTGACACACACCAAGGTGACAGGGAAGTCGGGAACTCTTGGCAGGCTGCCTGGTGGATAATGTGCAATCTTTTGGGAACACATGGGAGAGAAATGTAAACTGCTCTTTGCAGTAGGCTGCTCACACGCAACCAGAACTCAAAGGACTTTTTTTGGTACTGGGGATTGAACTCAGGGCCCTCGTGCTTGCCAGGCAGGAGCTGTGCCACTGAGCTAAATTCCTAGCCCTTGAAGGATTTTTTTTTTTTTTAAAGTTATTAGCCAGGTGTGGTGGCACAGGCCTGTAATCCCAGCACCTGGGAGGCTGAGTCAGGAGAATCAGGAGTTGGAGCCCGGCCTGGGCTACATAGTGAGACCTTGTCACAAAAAACAAGAGCAAAAAGTGAGTTCCTGTGGTTATCTGGAGGGGAACAAGGGAGTGCGGGGCTGGGAATGATAGGATAGCTGGGACATTTCTCCTGTACTTTAACACTTTTTTTTTTTTTTTTGTGGTACCAAGGATCGAACTCAGGACCTTGTGCTTGCCAGGCAGGTGAGGCGCCACTGAGCTAAATCCCTGGCCCTTTTTTTCTTTTTTAAAATCAGGGTCTCACTTTGTACCCCAGGCTGGCCTTGAACTTGTGGCAATCCTCCTGACTCAGCCTCCGGATTAAAGGCGTGCCCTACCACACCTGGCCTACAACACATTTTAAATGGATGGGGTGCCCTAGATGAAAACTCCAAACTAAAATGCTACCCACTGCATCCACATGGTGGCATTACAGGTGCTTGATTATTCTTTGTCCTTTTCTGTATCTTCTAAATTCTTCATGTGACAAACATGATTTTTATAATCTTTTCAATACTGGGAGTGAAATCCAGGGCCTCATGTATTCTAGGAAGTGCTCTACTACCAAGCGACATCCCCAGCCCAATCATTAAAAAAAAAATTTCTCAGATGAAGGAGAAACAGGAAATAGACATATGAAAAAATGTTCAACATCACTGATAATTCATGAGATGCAAATTAAAACAATGCTGAGATTCCACCTCACTCCAGAAATAATGGCTGCTTTCAAGAAATTAACCAATTACAAATGCTGGAGGGGCTGTGGGGAAAAAGGAACCCTTCACTGCGGGTGGGAGTGAAGACTGGTACAACCACTGTGGAAATCAGTGTGGAGATTCCTCAAAAAACTAAAACTAGAGGTTCCACTTGACCCAACTATTCCCTTTCTTGGTATCTTTCCAAAAGATACCAAGCGATATACCACAGCGATATATGCACACCCATGTTTATAGCAGCAGATTATAATAGCTAAATCTTGGAAACAGCCCAAATG